AGTTGTTTTCTATGTGAATATCTGTTAAACTGTAATGTATTTCTGTGATGCGCAGCTGTATTTTCAGCATCATTACTCCAGTCTTCAGTGTCACATGATCTTCAGAAATCAGTATAATATACTGATTTGCTGCTCAAGAAACATTTCTGATTATTATCAATGTTGAAAACAGTTGTGCTGCAAAATATTTTTGTGGAAACTGTGATATATTTTATTTTTCAGGATTCACAGATGAATAGAAAGTTCAAAAGAACAGCATTTATTTGAATATAGAAATCTTTTGAAACATTTCTGAAGATCATGTGACACTGAAGACTGGAGTAATGATGCTGAAAATCCAGCTGCGCATCACAGAAATAAATTACAGTTTAACAGAGATTCACATAGAAAACAGCTAGTTTAATTTGAAATAATATTTCACAATTTTTACTCTATTTATTATAAAATAAATGCAAAAAAGAATAAAAAAAACATTTAAAAAACATAAAATCTTAATTATTCCAAAATTTTGACTTGTAGTGTGTATTTTTTAAATATTACTTTTATAAATATACAACAGTGTTGCTTACATTTAGTATTTAATGTCTGGCATTAAATGTTAATTTTCCATTCTAGATTACAGACAAAAGATTATGGACAAAAGATAAGACAGTACCATTCTCTTAAAATTCATATCAATAAATACCTAAGTTATAAAATGACTATATGATGTAGAAATGCTTAAATAATTTAAATAGTTTTTCCACATTACAGTAATGAGATTATTTTTTGTTTTGTATTTTTTTTCTAGTTTTTTGGACATTTTTTTTTTTTCTTTTTTTTTTTTAAGGATTCATCTATATGATTTTTGTAAATGCATGCTGTCAACAGAAGATGGTCTTACAGATGTTGAAAAGACATGACTTTAATTAAATCCTCATGGGAAGACATTAGATGTCACAGTAGATTTTCCAGGACATCATGCACTAAATTGAATGCGTTTCCTTGAAGTTTACCTGATCATTCAACATCCACTGATTCACAGTTTATTTTATCTGTCTGAGCTCCAGATTCGTCTCTTAAAATGAAAAGACTCACCTGTTATGAGTAAGTCTGGGCAGTTGTTTTGTGTTCAGTTAAATCTGCTCACATCTGTTGATGATTTCTCAGCGCTTCACATTTGTTCTGTTCTCCATCTCGAGACTTTAATTAAAGTCACATACAGTGATGAGATGTTCTCAAACAATGCTGAGTCTTCAGGACAGAGGTTAATGGCAGAATCACCTTGCACTAACACTCACACACACACACGCGCGCTCACACACGCACACACACGCTCTCTCACACACACACACACATCTGTTGATGATTTCTCAGCGCTTCACATTTGTTCTGTTCTCCATCTCGAGACTTTAATTAAAGTCACATACAGTGATGAGATGTTCTCAAACAATGCTGAGTCTTCAGGACAGAGGTTAATGGCAGAATCACCTTGCACTAACACTCACACACACACACGCGCGCTCACACACACACACACACACGCTCTCACACACACACACACACACACACACACACACTCGTGATTTCACTAAGAAGATGCTCCAGATGGTCTGAACAGAAAGTAAACACACACAAGCAGTAACATCTGTGAAATCTTCTCGTCTCTTCTGCAGAATCCAGCTCATGCAGTACGTTATATACGGCATCGCCTCCTTCTTCTTCCTGTACGGCATCATTCTGCTCGCCGAGGGGTTTTACACCACCAGCGCCGTCAAAGAGCTCCACAGCGAGTTCAAGACCACCGTCTGCGGACGCTGCATCAGCGGCATGGTACCAAACCTCCTGCAGATATACTGATTAATAATATAATCACATAAAAATAATACAATATAATAAATAATAAACTAAAAATAAAAAGTATCAAAATAAATTAGACATTTTTTTACATAAAACAGTAAAATAAATTTAAAAATTAAAGCATACAAGTAATTTAAAAAATAGAATTTTATATATATATATAATAAAAACAACTTGAATCAAATAATTAGATCAATGTCTGAGTCATAATGTTTTAACTAGTGCTGTCCAACGATTAATCGCGATTAATCGCATCCAAAATAAGAGTTTTTGTTTACATACTATATGTATGTGTGCTGTGTATATTTATTATGTATAAATAAATACACACACATACTGTATATATTTCAGAAAAAAATTATTTTTATATATTAAATATATTTATTTTTAATATAAATTATATGAATATAAATTTAGAATTTATATATATATCTAACCAACAGTATGAGTGATTGTATCTGGAGGTGCCGTCGCTAAAACTGTTCAATCATCTCTTTCTCAGTTCGTGTTCTTGACGTACATCCTGGGAATCGCCTGGCTCGGGGTTTTCGGCTTCTCAGCGGTTCCCGTGTTTCTTTTCTACAACATGTGGTCAACCTGCACTGCCTTGCGCTCACCGATGGCCAACCTGACCTCCATCGACAGCATCTGCGTAGATGTGCGGCAGTACGGTACGAGACTCTGATTCCCTGCCAATCAAACCCTTAACTTCACTTTAAACTCTGTTGATGTTTTGATGAGGATTTGAGTTGTGTGATGTTAATGTTGTTTGTATGTTGATGCAGGTATTATTCCATGGAACGCAACACCAGGCAAAGCTTGCGGCTCAACGCTAGGTGATATTTGCAACACCAGCGAGGTATGAAAACAAATGTGTTTATATGCTAGTTTATTGACTTTGTCATGCAGCAGTGTTTATATGTGATATACAGTGGATATACATAATTCTAGTTCTACCTGCCTTATTCATTTTAATAAATAAAAATAATTATTTAATAATGTATCATTTATTATTCTATTTTTTTTACAAATTTTTTGCTTTTCATTATACATTTTATTTATAATATAATGTTTATTTTAATTTTAATTTTTTTAATTTAGTATTATTTAATTTAGTTTTTTTTGTTTGTTAATTATTTAATAATTATTTTATTTTTTACAAATATACTTTTCACTAAAATGTTATTTGCAACACCAGTGAGGTATGAAAACACATTAGTCACACTCTTACTGGTTTATTTGTCATCCAGCAGTGGATATAAATGATTTCCCGTTGGTCTGTTGCAGTTCTATCTGTCTTATCATCTGTATATCGTCGCTTGTGCCGGAGCCGGAGCGACAGTCATTGCTCTGGTAAGCAGATGTTTGTTTTATAGTCAGATATATGGGGTGTTTGTTCCTCTTCCTCCTCTTTTTATCCCTTCATTCCCAGCACCATCTACTGCAAACCATGTGCTTTAAGCCCCTGATCTAATGGTTAGTTTCAACGCTAGGTGATATTTGCAACACCAGCGAGGTATGAAAACAAATGTGTTTATATGCTAGTTTATTGACTTTGTCATGCAGCAGTGTTTATATGTGATATACAGTGGATATACATAATTCTAGTTCTACCTGCCTTATTCAATTGAATAAATAATAATAATTATAATTATTATTATTTTACAAATATGAAATTTGTTAGTTCTTTTTAATTTTATTAAGGTTAGTTTTGTGACGACGTCCCAGCAGTCCTCCTGAGATGACTTGATTTTGTTCTGCCAAATACATGCATGTAAATGACTGAAAAATCAGCTAGTGGGACGTCAGCCATAGAAGCTCAATTTCTAGTCACATTCTTTACTGACACCTGAAGGGAAATTTAGTCATTTAGACATTGCAACTTAAGACAAAGGATTCAAAACAACATCAAAAGTTCAGTCCTATTATAATCAATAAAGCTGTCAATACTGGAAGTGTCTGGTGTCACACCATCGGCCTGTTTCTTTGACACTTCAACCGCGCTGTAAAAAAGTGAATTTTATTAAATAAATATTTAATTATTTTTTATTTTATTTTTTACAAATGTCATGCTTTTAACTATAATACTATAATATTTGTAAATATAATAAATACTAAATATATATTAAAATAATATATACTAAATATTTGATTTGTAATGTTTTTATTTCATTATTCCTTTATTTAATATTATATAATTTTATTAATGTTTTTTTTTAATATCCTGATTTTCACTATACATTTTATTTTAAATTTTAATAAAATTGTTATATTTTCAAAATGTAATTTAATCATTTTTATTAGTTCTTTTTATTAAAATGTTATTACATATTAATTTAATAATTTATATAAATAAATAATTAATTTTGAATTTTTTTTTTTTTTTACAAATATCTTGCTTTTCACTAAAATGTTAATTGTACTGTAAAGTTTATTTTAATGTTATTATTTCTTTAATTTATTAAATATTTATTTGCATTTTTTTTTTTTACAAATATCTTGCTTTTCATTATAAATTTTATTTGTGATGTATTTTTTATTTAATATTATTATATAATTATTTGATTTTTTATTT